GAATCCCATCACTGACCTTTGCTCCATCATCACTAGCTTTATTTCCTGAATAAGTCAAGCATGTAGTTATTCTGATATTTTCTCTTATTTTAGTAACTTGATTGGAAACAGGTACACCTAACACTATGAAAGAAGGAATAGAAGATGGAATGAAAAGATCAGAAACCAAGTCGGCAATGTTATCACTCTTACTTTGATGATTCCTTTTGATTGGTGTTTATATTTTTACCTGAAAGTAGACTTCAGAAACACCAAATGGTTTAAGTCAGAGTGGGATTTGAAGATGGAAACACAAGTTGTATAATGCTAGGTGTGCCCAATTTTCCATCAGCAAAAGGAACATCTTGACCAATGGTATTTTATCAATAGCAGAGAGTTACTTTTCAAAAAAGACATTGGACTGCCTTTTTTTTTTAATGTCCATCTATTTTGGTAGTGATTTTAAATACTTAGTAATACAAAAACCTATATGCCATTCTCAAATGTAGCTTGGTATGAGTATGTTACAGTTCCCATGTGGAATCATTATTTTCACGAGACAGAGACCTATCATTTTCTAGGGTTCATGTGGATGGCAAGAGCAAAATGATAACATTATTGAAGAGCCCAGAAGCAAAAAAAAAAAATGACAGCTTTTTGTATTGTTCTGGGAAAAAAATGCTGAATCTCTGGAGAGAAAATAATCATGATCAGCTGCTGAAAATTTTAAAAGCAAGCAAAAAAAATAGTATAAAAGCTTTTTGGAGAGTTTTAGACGACTCTACTTATTTATAGCACTCCACAGAAAATGAGTAAAAATTGAGATGAAAGGTGGTGGTGAAACTAAAGAAACCAGGAGGGACTAGGTTGTAGTAAATGCTTTTTACTTGAAGCGCTGAGCTTCTTTATTTCTCCCCTTACTTATCTCCATATTTTATTTATCTCATTTTCCATTTGATGGACAGTGATGACAGATGTGAATATAGCTAGCTACTGAAATATGTAGAATCTGAAATAAATGGTCTGGGATAAGTCTTTGAAATAAGAAACTTTATTTCGTTTAGTCTCAACTGTTCAAAAGGGATTTAATTCCCTCTCCGCTTTTCTCCTTTAGTGGAGTTTCCTTTAAAAGTTAGCCTTAACATCCTCTGCCCTTTAACCACATTCTATTTTTGAGACACTGATTTTATAATAATATCCTTCCAGAAAAGAAGCATCAGTGCTTTGAATGTTGTCTCTGCTGCTATATGGGGCACATGTAATGGCTGCAATCCTGTTTCCGTGTCAAGATGCATAAATGATTAAGCATATACTGTAGAAAATGTGCAGGAGTTCTTCTTTGACACACAGTACTGAATAAATACAGATTATACCTGAGTTCCACAACTTAAGAGGGACATGGAAAAATTGGACGTGGTCCCAGAAAGAAGTGGGAAGTAGGACCTATGTAAAGGATTAAGGAAGTGACAGTGCCTTCTTGAGGCACTGATGTGACTTCCCTTAATACTCAGACTTCTCAACTCTTTGCAGTATTTGTCACTTATATTTGTAGTATTTGACCAGAGACTTTGACCTTTCTACCCTTGGATTCCATGGCACTACACTTTTCTAAGTCCCTTCCCAATACTTTTCCCCTTCATTATCAAGCATCTATTTTTCCCTCATCACTCTCCCTTGGAAAAAGAAAGAAAGAAAGAAAAACAAAACTCGTGTAACAAATAAGCACAGCAAGTAAAATAAATAATCATATTGACCATATCCCAAAATGTGTGTGCCATATTGTATAATTTAGTCCTTCACCTTTCTGTTAAGAGGTGGGTAGCATTCTTCATCATCAATCCTTTGGAATCATAGTTGATCATTTTGTTGATCAGAACTCAATATTTTTTTTTAATTATACGTTTTTTCTTATCTGCTGACTTTTCTTCCCACTTATTTAAACCATTTGCTTCTTTTAATTATTTGTTGCCTAAGTGTGGATGACTTTCTAAGTTGTCTTCTAAGTGTCTGAAACACATATTAAGCCTTCTGGTGATAAGCCTATCCCATTTGAACTTAGCCACTTGGTACAGTGGTCACCAAATCTACCAGAGTTTCTGCTTATTCTGATGGTTTAATTACACAAGGTCATCTCTAATTGCAGGGGGTGGCCTGAAGTTAGGAAGATCTGAGTTCAAATCCAGCCTTGGACAATTACTAGCTATGTGATCCTGGTCAAGTCACTTAGCCTCTATATGCCTTAGTTTCCTCATCTGCAAAATGGTCATAATAAAAGCATTTACCTCCAAAGGTTATTATGGGAATCAAATGAGATAGTAATTGTAAAGCACTTGGTATAGTGGCTGGCATGTCTGTGTGTGTGTGTGTGTGTGTGTGTGTGTGTGTGAGTGTGTGGGTGTTTTGTGGTGGTGTTAATTATTAATTACCTCAGATTAAAATTTTAGGAAAATTCCTCTTACAGAGTACTTTAAAGGCATTTAAAGGCATAGCAGGTAAATACCAAAGTATCTAATAATTACAAATAAACTGATGTAATTTTTCTCTATAATATTAAAGACATATCATCTCCACTTAACAACAAGCAATTTAAATGTTCCATTTCATTTCATTTAAATGGGAGTATTCCTTATATTACTGGTAGCAGGGTAGTGTCTGCATAATGTTCTTAAATGTCATTATGAGGAACCCTGAAGACTAGACCCTCTTCATGGTCTGCATTGCCAGCTAGAAAAATGCTTAGGGCAACAGCAGCTACTATCAACAGGGAGCCATATTAATTATTTAGAATGTGCCTCATAAGAGGAATCAACAGAGTTTATTACAAGTGGAATATTACTTGAATCAGGAAGGTTACTCTAGCTGTTATCATAATCTCTGTATCATTAACTTTCCTTGTTTAGAAAAAAGAGATTAATAACCCTATGAATTGTTCCTATAACTATGTGAATTATAACTGCATATTTTCATTATGAAAAGAAAAGTTGTGGTCCACCCAGCACCCCTTTGGAAAAAGCAACCTTCACACTCTGGAAAATGACTTAGAAATTAAACTATAAGAGTTTATGATAGTGACAGCATGAACATTTTAGACACAGTACTCCTACTCTGTTTTTCCCCCCTATCACACTGAACACTGCTCTCATTTCTTCTATTTTAATTAAGTTTTTGATGTTCTAAACTTTACAAATGCCAGTTAACATAAGTATTTCCACCTACAGTGATCAGAAAGATTGCACATAACAACAAAAATATCTACTATATACCTTTTTTTCCTATAACATAGAGAATGAAATCGTAGCTGCTTTTCCCTGAGTTATGATCATGAATTTTTCTGCTGTCTCGCTTTATAACTCTGGTTTCCTCTTGGCCTACAATGGACAACATCAGAAGTCCTGAGCTTCTTACATTACTTTTAAACTAAGCTACTGCACTTTTAATCTGTTACTTCATCCATCAACTAAATGCTAATAACTTTAACTCATAAGGTGTTGCTATGGAAAGAGCAGTGCATTTATGCCTATGAATCCATGAAAGGTATGTTAATATAGTGGATAAAGGGCAGGTCTTAGAGGCAGAAAGACACACATTCCATCCTATTTCTGGCAGAAAAGTAACTTTGGAAAAATCAATTAATTTTGTGCCTTAGGACTTGAGACTTTTCTTCTAAGTTATAGTGACATGATAGTTATGTGGGGAGTTTCAGTATCAGAGGAACCTCCAGGTTAATAAAATCATTGGTCCACACTAGAAAGAAAAAAAAAAGTGAACTCATGGCAAACTGTAAAGGCTAAAGAATGAACCCACAGGGACTTTTTATAAAGTGTTTTGCTTTGTTTTCCACATCGTGTTATAAAAATATCTCAAGTATCTGATCAAGTTATTCTCCAAGTTAGCAAAATCCAGTGGCTCCAAATTACTTATCTAGTATTATCATCCCTCACAACTTGGCCCTCCTGCATTTCCAAGCTTATTACACATCTGTCCTCACAAACATTCCAACCCAGCCAACCTCCAAACTCAGTTTCTGTTCTTTACTCGTGGCACTCTCCATTAGATGGCAATTCCTTTTCTTCTCCCATTAGAATATAAACTACTTGTCTTCCCTCATTAAAATGTAAATTCTCGGGGCAGCTAGGTGGCACAGTGGATAGAGTACTGGCCCCGACATCAGGGGACCTGAGTTCAAATGTACTCTCAGATCAAACACTTGACATTTACTAGCTGAGTGTCCCTGGGCAAGTCACTTAACCCCAATTGCCTTAAAAAAAAATTTCTTGGAAGGCTAGGACTTTCTGCTTCCAATCTTATTTCCAGTAAAGTGCCTGTCACTTATTAAACAATAAATGGTTGCTGACTAAATTTGATTCTGCTTCCTCTCCCTGGGTCTTTTCGACTAGCCCTTCCCCCTGCCTGGAATGCACTTCCTCCTTGTTTCTGCCTCTAAGAATACTATCTTCAAGGTTCCTTCTCAAGTGCCACCTTCTACATGAAGCCAAATGCTTGGTAATTGATTGACTAATTGATCTGGTTGTGCTTTTGAGGCAGATCACAAATTGTAGACTTAAAAAAAAATTTAAATGTGTGTGATGCTCAGAGCCATTAAATGATTCATCCAATTCACAGAGCAAATGAGTAGGAGAGAAAGGACTTGAACCCAACTCTTTCCAAAGTAGTACTCTATTCACTAACCAACCTGCTTTTTGTGAGAAACCTTTGAAACAATTTACCCACTAAATGGATGGTACCGAATGTTGTAAGTAAAACATGGCTGTTCAGTAGCCAAAATGATGCAGGCTATTTCTAGGATAGAGTGCCCTGAACAGTCTAAAAGAACCTAAAGCAAAGATTATAGTTCAAATATTGTTCATTTGGTAAAATGTCTATAAAAAATAAAATTCTAATGATGTGATAACTGAATTAATTTGGTGGTGCAAAAAGAGGAAAGCAAGAAAGATTAAAATATTGTTGCTGACAAGAAATTCAAACAAGGGAAATTAAGTTGCCTCTTCTTGGCTCCACAGGGCAGGCACATCATGGTCAAGTTTCATACATTGCTCCACCCGTTCACCTGGACTCGGAGTTAGAAAGACCCCCTTCTAAAGGTGAGTTTGCTTCATTTCGATTTTTATCATATTTTTTTTCTTTGTTAAGGGCTTCGTAAGGATAATACTGATGTGTACAATCAGAAATTAAAAGTCCTTGTGTTTTGTAAATTTTATTAATCATCAGGATTAACCTGTAGTTAAATTCCTCTTTTAGATAATCCTTCCTGAAAATCAGTGATCTCTTCAAATACTATCTACTTATTAAGCAATAAAACTTTTCTTTAAAAGTTATTAATGTATTTGCTTTTAAATTAAACATATTGTATATTTTAAAATTACATGTCACAATATTAGCCACATAATATTCAGCCTGCATAAGTTGGGGTAATATTAAAATATGAGATACTGCTTTCATGGATCCCTCATTATCATGTTATATATTTCAGACTATCAAAATAACTATTATTTCATGTGAATACTAGTCTAACTAACAGTTTTTAACTCCGCCTCAGGTTAGGCAGTTCTGAAGGGTTAATTTAGTTAAAGAAAATTATTATCCTCTGCCAGCCAAGCTCGTGATAATGAGCTTCTCCAAGCTAAGGTAGACCGGTACTTGTGCCTGCTCTCTTTTTAGATTGGTGGCTCCTGAATTAATGGTATAGGCTTCGGTAACTCTGAGATGTTTCCCTACTATGATTAGGTAGAAGAGCAGGTCTTTAGTGAAGAAAACGTTATATGGAGCTAAATACCCTTACGCAAGTGTATCATAGGCAAATATAGACCTACTTGCATATATATAGGTATAGAAGACATTTCCCATATATATATATATATAGATATATATCTATATGTAGATATATATCTATATATATATATATGGATATATATCTATATGTAGATATATATCTATATATATATCTATATATATATATATATATATATATATATATATGTATCTATATATATCCTCCTCATAATTAAATGAATCTGTGATTTCATCATCAATTTAGGCATTCACAACAACAAGAAAAAAAATCAACCCATCCCTGCTGGCACATACTGGGCGACTATTATCCATGTGCTGTTCTGAGTTTGCCAGAGGGAGTTCATCTAATATGTCAGGATCCTTCTTTGATTTCCCTTGACATCATGAGGATGACTCTTGCCATTTGATCAGAATGTGTATAGTCTAAATATTGTAAACTACTTATTAGTTTTAAGTTTTAAAAAATGAAGGATGAATATGGTGGAATTATGCTTGTGAAGGGAAAAAATGATTTTAAAAGCACGTTGGATAAGTATACAGTGCATATGACATTTACGTGTATTAAAGCATGGAAACTATAAGCTGAGATACTGGGATGTTTGATTTTCTATGAAGGTTATGAAATGCATGAAAGATTATTATAAGTACATGTACACTTTTCTCTTATTGCCCACAGTTGAAAGGTATACTGGGCTTGATTTGACTCAAGTGATGAGTCATTACCTCATAAATTGAGCAGAAAGCTCATCTTTCTGCCTCCCAAGAAGCATCAACCAACATTTTGCATAACATAAATGAACTTTCAAAAATTACTATTGCGGGTAGGTTTTAATTTTCTAAATACCAAAGATATTGGGACAGAGTTTTATGCTTCAATAATGTAAAGGACCCTCTTACACTTTCAAAATTGTATTATTCACTTTACCAAATAAATAAATAAATAAATAAATGAAATCAATTCCTTTTCTTTATTTGCATGTGAATGTAGTAATTATAGAATAAAAGCTTTGACCTTTCAGGGATGTGCTGGTTCTCAGTGCCTTCACATGAGTTCCCAATGTCATTGACTGCCCATATTCTTTTGTTTTGTTTTGTTTCAAATTCATTCCTATGTTCGGTTTCACTTTTCTGTCCATTATAGAAAACTTAGGATTTTTTTTTAATCAAGGACTATGATTTTGAAGATGTAGGGAATTTCCAGTGAGGAAAATCATTCTACCAATTCAAATTGCCAACTGTTTTGCAATTTATAACCTTAGAGAGATATTTAGGACAGCTAGGTAGTGTAGTGAATAGAACACTAGGCCTGGGGTCAGGAAGACCTGAATTCAAATCCAGTCTCAGATACTTTCTACGTATGTGATCTCAGTTTCCTCAACTGTTAAAATCAGGATAATAGTATTTACCTTGGAGGATTGTTACGAGGATTAAGTGAGATAATATTTGTAAAGTACTTAACACAGCTCCTGGCCTAGCATATAATAGCCTCTATATAAATTCTTATTTAGTTTCCCCCCTTCCTTAGAGAACACTCGTTGAGTGGTTTGTGTATGTTAATATGTCTTTATGCCAAGTGGTCTTAATCCTATACTAGGCTCTCTATCCTCTATGTAACATTATCCTAGTTTAGGAATGATGACTGACAATAGCTCTGTCATTGGGCCAAATAATCTCATCTAAAAGACACCCACCCTCCTCTTGTCTTTTGAATCACATATAAAAAGTCTTTCAGAAAACCCATTCCCTTGGGTTGTTTTAAATGATTCAACATCTTAGGGGAATTTAAGTAATATGAAAGTTTTACTACTTTCTGCTGAGATGCTTGAAGAGAAATGAAGTCACACAAGGAATACGTTTACTTCTTGACTTATTAACAGTAAGTTTATTTTTGCAACCTTAAAATTGTTTGTGCGTTGAATGGAGGTTTAACTACTTAGAAAGTAAGATGCAATGATGTAACTGACAAGTTATGCACATAAAGGCAACACTGTGGTCTAGTTGTATTGGCATAGAATTACTATTGGAGGTAGAATGGCTTGGAGAAATAAACAGAAAAGAATGTTAGGAGAGTTTAGTTCAATCCCCAATTTTGTCTTTGACTTGTATTGTGACCTTGCACAAGTTGGTTTTATTTGGGCCTCGGTTTCTTAATCTTTAAAATAGGAGTCCTGGACTAAGTGATTTCTGAATCTGTGAATCTATAAAATAAAATGGATAAATTTAAATGGCATTTGAGTTATCCTTTAGAATTACCTAACAAAATTAAATGATTGTTTTTCACGTTTTTCAACATGCTTTTAAAACAATTTTTTTCCTTAACATCTATTGAATAAGTAAGTTTTTAAAGGTGACTACTTTGCAGGACCACCTTATTTTGCATGTATTTCTGAGCTCTGGAGTCTGTTTTTAAAATTATCTCAACTTAGATGTATAACTTTAAATATATTTTTTTGAAAATGTCTTACTGCTTTATTGACACATCTCAAGAATCCATACCACCATCAGAGATTTATTCCTTTGAGTCAGGAAGGCCTTTTGGATTTAAAAAGAGACCCTTATTTATTTATTTGTTTGCTTATTTGCTTTATTTATTCATTTATTTATTTGGTAGGGATCACTATGAGAGATCCCTTCATCAGGAATCAGAAGACAAGTAATTGGGAACAAAGCCTTTGGGAATGTATTAGATGAAAGATGTATGTGGAAGGGACAGGATCCCAAGGAAATAGGAGGGCTGAAAAAGGGTACAGGAGAGTCAAAAATAAATGTAGTCACCAATTCCATTCCTTCTGATCAGATGGATGGAGGACTACCAGGCCTTACCATTTACCATTGCCTTCATGGCCTCTAGTTCCTCAATACCACTATCTTCACTATTTATGTAATCTAAGGATCCCTCAGCCTTGCCATCTGCCCTGCAACTAAACTTTTCCTTTCTTCTATGTATTATCTCCCTCCATTAGACTGTGAGCCCTGGGGTGCCTCCATTTTTTCTGGTGCATGCTTAGGAATTTTTAATAATTAATTCTTATTGGAATTACAATTTACCAAATACAATATATTATTGTTTTGTGTAAAAATACCTTTTTTATGTCCAAGCTGTCCGGCTATGTTAATACAGGTTTCTGATACATATAAAACAAATTCCATTAAATGGAGGGGAAAAACAAACACATTTTTATAACAAATGCATTTATATGTCCCTAGCAATCTAATGATATCTTTTTGATAAAGTATTTTTATAAAGTAATTATGTTGGTATATTTTTACAGGATAAAATAGTTATAGTAAACTTTGGCATTCTCTAATTATTGTGTGGGTATCTAGGTAGTGTCTGATGATATGAGTCTATTTTTTTTGGGGGGGGTAAAGTTTCATTGTTGCTGGAATTATGAACTTCTTTGCTCCCATCTGTGGCTTCAGTGGATTTCTTCTCCATTGATATGATCTCAGTATAATTTAGGCAAGATTACCAGAGTTGCCAGGGGTATAATTGAGTGTAGCAAAAGACAATAGTTGTTCAGCTGCAGAATGATGTGAAACAGAGTAAGTCAGTGTATAGAGTGCAATACTGAAAGACATACAGACTAAGGTCTCAGTGTGTGCAGAATAGAAGGAAAAAGGAAATAAGTTTGTGAGGGTAGAGAATAAGCTATAGAAAGTTGTGAAACGATGATCCTCAGAAAATAATCATTGGGAAGGGAATGCATAACCAAAAGGAGGGTTTTAAGTCAGATATATTCCCTTCATTCAAATATCAGTTCTTTCTAACAGTGCTGGGGTGGAAATGGAGGAGCTAATGTTACAAGCATTTCTCCTCTTTCACTTTCCCCTTTGTCAGCAATTCTAATTCTTGCTAAAGCTTTCTCTGAACCGAAATGTAGCCTTATTTTCTGCTGCTCATCTTGCTCTTCTCCCTAAATACACTGGTTTTTAACTTCATATGTTTCAAGATGCTAATCCCAAGTTATAGAGAGATGAATGGAAGCTACCTTATACTCAGAAACTTATTCAGTCATATTCCCTTAGTTTCATAGAAATTCATCTTTATAGCAGTGGAGTAGAGTGGAAAAAGAGAATGGACTTGGAGCCAGAAGATCTGGGTTCAAATCCTGTACCAGTTATTCTCCTAACCTTAGAGAATCAGCGAATCTCTCTAGACCTTGGTTCTGAACTCCTTCCCCCAATCCCTGCACAGAGAGAGAGAGAGAGAGAGAGAGAGAGAGAGAGAGAGAGAGAGAGAGAGAGAGAGAGTATTAGACTAGACATTATCTCCACCATTAGAATGTAA